GTAATGTCACAGCCAATCATTACGCAAAAGTGATCTCCAATTTTCAAAGATAACAAAGGCGTTTTGACAAGGTCAGTCAGTGAAAATGCCATTAACCCCACTGAATTCCTGTTGAGTTGGAGCAGAGCAGAGGTCAACCGGTGAACCCATGGCCCTCGCAGATTTCACCAGCAGCAGAGGACCTCATATTTTGGCCCCACTGCAACCTAATGAAATGTGTTAAGTAGGGAGGAGGGGAGTTTTAGGGCAGGACATGGCCGTCACTCATGCAGCAGACGAGCTACTCCTGACTTAATTTTTTCTCCCCTTTCATTACCCTCTTGTTCAAGTAATCTTATACAAGTATGCAGCGGAGTTCGGCGCCGAAGTAGGCCTGCCATTTGTTGTTCAACAGCATTGAAAGGAAATGAGTGGTAAAATTACAGGCCAATTCCTCTCATTAATGCGGGCTTCACTCAGCTGTCCTGAGTGACCCTATTAAGGCTGACACAAAGCGGGGGGATGGGGGAGGGAGCAGGGAACCGGGTTTCGCTCCAAATCACTCCGACCCTTTCCCTTCACCCCACAGCGACCCTCCCCTAGCAAACAAATCCCAAGTGAACTGCAGCTCCAAAGAGCAAGTTTTATTTTTTGATCTTTGAACTCCACTCTGTTTCTTCCCCTGAAACAAATCCAGTGAGTAAAGAGAGGGATCACGGCCCACACAAACACTCATATGTGACTCCCCGTGTGTAAACAAATGGTCATGCGATGGAAAGTCATCCTAGTTTCTTGTGTAATTTGCTTTCTGCCACAGGGAAATTTGTTTGGGTTGTTTTGTCAAGGACTTTCCATGTTTAGACAGACTTGACATTGACATCTTTGTCCCGACAGCTTGAAAATTATTCCCAGGATGAAAGCGTACAGATAAATGCAAATGGCTTTCAGTTTCCAGCATTTAAAACTTAATCTCATTGCATACCCTTGAGCATATTTCTTTCTATTGCCAAGAAATTCTGTGAATGAATATCCCTTCTATCAAGACTTCATTAAGCGGTCCAGTCAAAACACTGTGATGCAAATTATATCAAATGCGACACTTCAGAACTGGATTCTGCGCAGAAATATTTAAGGAGTAAATTTTCAGCAAACCAGAGCTTCACATAGTTATTCATCTTCTCAGAGCATGTCATCATTTTTAACTGCCACTCCTTTTATTTTTCTCCCTCCCTAGTAGCCAAATTAGTGTGCAATCAGCATATCTACTCATGGTTTATTAAGCTGGTATCAACACAATAATGGTTGCTTAATGAAGAGAAACTGTCATCTACGCAAGGTACATTTTTAACAAGAACCTGTGCCTACTTGTGTATGCAGTAGGGTAGAAGAGATGTGCTTGGCTGTGCTGGGAAAACACTATCTATAAAAAATAATAGCTATGATTTGAGGGAAGAGTTTACTTAGAATGACAGTATGGCAACGGTGTAAAGTGATTGTTAACTGTTGGTCGTGATCGCAGTTAGTTTAGGATGAAGTTACCTTGGACTTTTCACAGTTACAGAGTGTGACCTAGAAATTGAATTCCCAAGCGCTGATGTAACTTCTTAAGTGTCAGCACTGAAAACTCTTTTCACTTATGCCCATGATGAGGAGGATGATATAATAACTTGGCCTGTCATTTTCACTTTGTGTAAGCTATACACCACATACACACTGAGTCTTTAGACAGCATCAGTTTAACTCGCTTTTTCAAAACAACTTAATTAAATTTGAAGTGCTGTAACATTTTCTTTCCTTGTTTTTTATACTTTTTTTTTTTTTTAGCAACATTCCCATTTCTGTCAAGACGGGTCCAAATTTTCTTTGAATGTCCTTGAGGTGTCCCACATAACCCTCAAGGAGCTACGTTATTAGCATTCGGAGTCAGAAGCAGAGATCTGAGGTGACCCAGAAGCCAAGGACCACTCTGACAGGATTACAGAGTTCCTTGGCTTCAGCATGGGAACATGGCCAGAAGGAAACCATGCGGGGGGAAATTTAAAAAAAAAAAACACATGACAGTGAGCATAGAGGCTACAAAACAGGCCTGTCAGTGATTCTGAGCTGTTGACCTATAATGAGTATGAAACTATTACAGGGTTTTCTGTTGCATATTTGCTTGTTATACTGGATGTATGTACCCATCAGTAGTGGTTATTTTAAACACATATTTGCTACGGCCGCGTGACATTTCCTACAGCTACCCTGTCTGATGTTTTATCTGAATACAGTAGTTACATTTTATAGGCTGCTTAATGATTGCAGTGTTTATGCAGCTTTTGCTACTGACAGCATATAAAGTATTTCTGGCCAATCAATCCGCAACCTATTTAGAGTGTAAATGCTCAATAAGATCGATTGCTGCACCTCTTCTCAACGTCTGTGTCATCCACTTTGTTTTCATGGAGTTAAGCGTATGCAACCCTACACTGTGGGCTTTTCACGATCAGACACCTGAGAGGTGTAGCTGAAGGAAATACAGGGGAATTCCTGAGGAAAACCCAATGCAAAGCACTCACCATGTCAGATTGTGGCAAAGATTTGTCTTCCAGCAGGACACTGATCCTTATCAAACGCTCGAATACGCCGTGGAATTTCTTCAGAACAAGACTGTGATGTTGAAAAGTCTTTGCAGGAGCTTGAAGATGGGTATTGAGATGCTCCTCATACAGTTTGATTGAGCTTTAGTCCATCTGTGGGCGGAATTACAGGAAATCCAAAACTCTTATGATGTGCCAGCTATATATTCAGAATGACCCAAAGGTTTATCAGCGTCTGCTTGGGTTGCAGTAACAACTTAGATGTCTGCATTTCCAGTATATTTATACATAAAAAGCTGCATTTTCTCTTGGAATAAAATGCTATGTTCACTTTGTTCAATTTAAATTTATAATATGAGCGATTTTAGTATGTGCTTTACCTCATAACCTGCACTTCTGCACACAATAGTAAAATCTTGAACTATATTTTCTGCTTTCTTGCTGAAAATAAAAAAACATCACAGCTGTATCCAGATACTCACTAAACTCTGGGGCAAAAAAGCACATAAATGTATTTCCCAAACTGTTTTACTTAAATACATTTTTTAACAGTACCGCCATCAGTAACACTAAAATCCCACTCATGCTTATCCATTGTCTCAGCTAAAGACCGTATGCTAATTTAAAATCATTAAAGACTTTTGACAACCCATGGTGTAATTTCCAAAGCCCTCTCCAGAGAATGCAGGGAAGGCTATATCCTGCACATCATGAAAGGCTAGTCATTCATTTGCCCTGCCTTGATTTACATCCTGCCACGACCAGCTGCCAGAGCCATTTTGTGTTGGAGTGTTTGGAGAGCTTAGGGGGGCGGGCTGTTGAAGGCGTTTTAGAAAAGGTCTGGGTTCTTTTAATGTGACAGAAATCTGAACTCGAGGACCTCTCCACAACCCAGCGCGCACACAAACGACATTTGCACTTGGATCCAGCCTTGACCGAGCTCTCATGTTTTCAGGTCATAGATTGAAGGAAGAGACTCGTGGCCAAGTGTCAGCAGGTTCCTGTAAACATATATAAACGCCCTGTACACTGGCTGCTTCACGCCAGTGGCAGCAAGAGAAAAATGAGTTCTGAACTGTGACTTGTGTGTGTGGGAGGGGGGGAAAGATTGTAAGCCAAGGATGGTTATACCATTGAAAAGAGGAAATGAGGGTGAGGGTGAAGGAGAGAGGGAAAATGGGGTGAGCAAGAGAGGTTTCCTAAGCTAATAAAATGCTTGGAGGGATGGAAGCTGCCAGCCAGCATTCCTGTGCCATTAGATAAGTTAGCTCACTGCAGCCTCCAGTTTCTCTGCAGTGCTGAAGTGGCAAGCTGAGGTCACCACCGGGGAGTGAGGGGGATGGTGTGGGCAATGATTTCAGAATGTTTTTGTGCACAGCCGTTGCTCCTAAACCTCTGACGCTGTTTAGTCGGTGATTTACGTTGGTATTTATGACCAAAATCTAAAATGATCCATCATCTGCCTCCACCATGCCTTCAGAAGCAGCATCTCCGTGCTGTATTTCCTGCAGTTAAACATCTAAAGTGCTGGTTAAATAACTTTGCACAAACCTGCATAATGGATTGTGACATTCTGATGATATACAAGCTGTTGAAATGAAGAGTATTTCGTTTCGTAGTGGAGAAATATACATAGAGAGTCGTGTGATCTTCTGGAACTAATTTTAGATGTTAAAATGTGAGATCAGGTATCACACTCGGCACAGGTCGGATTGTGTAGCTCACACCAAGTGCTACCAAATTCACACCAGCCAAATGGCAACACAGAAGCTTCTAAGTGTGACAGATTGCAGCAATACCAGAGAAGTCAAGAAGCTTCTCTTGCACACTCATTTACAGTCTGTCAAACTGAACCCCTTCACGTTGAATTGGTTGAACCCAGGAGCTTGTTGGTTGTTTTTAAGAAGCTGTAGTAGTAAATCCATACTCTTCCCCAAGGTAGTAAATTTCTGTGCTGAAAAGTGAGATAGAGGGTTGCGAAAAGTATTTGCCTCCAAGTAATTCTCCATCAGGGAGATCTCTTGTGCTGCGAGATGCCTTATTTAAATGGAAAGAGTGTTGAGTGAGTATTCCCCGGTAACCTCAGCGTGATCATTCTTCGTGAGACCTTGTGCCAGTATCTTGTACAGGTTTTACAATACTGACTGCAGCTGAGTCTGTTCCAAGTCATTTAGAAGATATCAGTCAGTCTTGCCCCTACGGCTTTACTGAGTGAAGGAGATTAAAAAAGGATCTTTGACTTGTGTAACTATCTCGCATATGACACCCTTTAGCAAAGATTAACACATTGATGGAGCAGCCACAATGCACTCACTGCTCGCATAGTGCAGACAGTTACACATGAATCTGACAGTGAAATGTTCTCCGTTGTGTTTGGTACATGACTTATTGTCACAGTTAACACAATCTAAATGTGTGAATCTTCAATTTCTTGTCTTACAGGCATGCTGGTGGTCAATGTTACTTGGAGAAACAAGACATATGTGGGCACCCTGTTGGACTGTACACGGCATGACTGGGCTCCCCCCAGGTAAGCAGCCTGTTCGCTTTATTTCATGTGGAGAAAGCAAGTTTTGCACATTATTCTTGTGATCATTTAGATGCAGTTATATAGGGATGGGGTTACAGATTGCTTGGTCTCAAAAAAAGGAGATAAGTATAATCATAAATATCTAAGCATTAGTCAGCACAAAACGGAGAAAAAAATAGCAAGGATTTGTGTACTATTAAATTTACTGTCGTGCATGGTAGTTGTAAATGTCAAGGTAGAAGAGAGTTCACAATTGCCATGAATCACTGATGCGTTCACTCTACCCAAGCTCTTGGTACTTGGTCTCTTAACCTTTTCATATTCTGTGTGATATGAATCTGCTGTAGCAGCATCTGCTCAAGGATATACAGCCTAATGCACCAAATTGCCAGTGTGCCACTGGATCTACAGAGTACATGTTAGTCTTTATGTTGTGCCTGGAGAAACAGGATTCATTGGCAAACGGCTGATGTCCCAGGAGGCAGTAGTGGAAATAGAAAGCTACTCTAACAAGCCAGATTGCAGAATCCAATTATTGGACTAATAGCTTTTCCTCAACACTGTAAAACATTCTCTATCTCAAAGGCTGCAATTTCTTAGATCAGTGTTATGTGGGCGGCAAAAGGTGTTTTTGTAATTTCTGGATACTTGCCTTTGTTATGCAAAACACACAGGATGTGTAAAATACATTGCCAAGCGCTTGCTTTGATTTAGAGCACCTGCACTGCATCTAAATGTAAATATGAATCTATATTTGAAATGCATGGTTAAGTGCAATAGAAAAAAAAATCAAGATTAAAGTAGTGCTAATGGAAAACAAGGAGATGCTGTATCGCACTAATGTATCACAGTATATCACAATAATGCTAAGTACATGAGGTTTGCTGGGTTGCATTTGCACCAAGATAGTCTTACAGTTTGCAGCACGACTACATTAGGGACACACCATGAATAATTCAGAAAGCTTTCAACGGACTGAATATAAACTTGGGCTTGTAATGAGTCTAAATTCCTGTACCACTGTCAGACTACGGATGTATTCACATCCCCTGCTGGGGCTGAAATTGTTTGGAGAGACTTGTAGAGGAAGCTGTGAGTCATACCAGCCCCTGTGTCTGACTTTGTCACAGACTGCTAACCTTCACTGCTGTGCAGAAAGATAATTACATTACTGTTATGGAGAGATAAGGCCAAACCGCTATTTTAAGTATTTGAATGACTGCGTGTTTTGATTACAGAGCAGGTAGAAGGTTCATGGCTGTCTTTTCAAATCATGTTTGCTTGTCTTTCATTTGGACAGTCGTGCGGCTTTGTTTAAAGTGCTTATTCCCTTATAGTGCACCAAGTATCAAATTGGTATGTTGCAAAAAGACATGGCAAGAACAATGGTGCATCTATTTTGATATAATTGCCATTGTTTACAACACCATAGTGAACAATGTACAGTATTGTCACCCTTGGTATTACTGTTATGATTTATTTCTTTGAATCTCCTTTGAGACAGTGTGGAATTGTAGCATGTTATTTGGCATACCATCACGGTAAACAACAGTGTATGCGAGATTCACAGTAAAAAATGTAAACAACTCCCCCTCAGACAAACTTAAGAAAGCGTATGGCTAAGTACAGAAGAAGCCAAAATCTTGCAAAAAAAAAAAAACATTTTTCCAAAGGCTTTGCTGCAATCTAGAGAGTATTACAGATGCCAAAAACTGACCTTTTTTTCCCCTTTTATCTTGACAATCAAAGGCTTTGGGCCTCTGTGGCTTCTAAGTAATGACTAATGAGGGCAACAGGGGTTTGCCTTCCAGATACAAGTGTATTTATTGTAAGGTCACTTGTCACATCTTGATTCCACACAGGTGATCCCCATTTCACAAAAACAGCTGACTGCACCACTGATGAGATTTGTCATTTTTCATGGCAGACTGTTGATCACTGTCAGAAGTGCCGATTATATTCACGGTGATTAAGTGCAGTAAGATAATAAGAATGAAAAAGTCCAAAGAGGGATTTGTTGGAATACTGGTATTGAGTTTACACAGAAATGAATTTCAATTAAACTATTTCAAAATCGCAACTAAAGCACTGTATTGCACTTGTATCAATACTGTGACATGAGTAACCCTCATATCTGATTTTCAACACTGCTGCAGGTTTTGTGAATCCCCTACAAGCGATCTGGAGATGAGGAACGGTCGCGGCCGAGGTAAGCGAATGCGGCCGAACAGCAACACCCCTATCAACGAGAACAGCAACTCATCAGACAACAAGGGCACCACCAACAACAAGACACGTGCCGCATCTAACAGCAAAGGCCGGAGGGGCAGCCAGACGCCATCGGAGCGCCGCACCCCACCGAACAGTAACACAGAGGACATCAAGGCCAGTCCCTCCTCAGCTGGAAAACGCAAGACCAAACCAGCCTCGGACATGGAACCCAATTCCAGCTCAGAGGACACCAAAGGCAACAAACGTATGCGGACAAACTCCAACAGCGGAGGGGTGGGACCAACAGGTCTCCCTATCCCTTCTATTAAGACTGAGCCACTTCCACCTCCCCTTGATCGCAGCTGCCCCTCTCCAGTTCTAATTGACTGCCCACACCCCAACTGCAACAAGAAGTACAAGCACATCAATGGTCTCAAGTACCACCAAGCCCGTGCCCACAATGATGACGACATAAAGTTGGAACTGGATGGAGACAGTGAATATGGAGAAGACTCTACTCTCCACCCTGATCCAGGGAACTGTAATGGAGCCTCTATCTCTCAGAAAGGATGCTTGTCTCCTGCACGGTCAGTTACTCCAAAAGGCAGAAACTTTGACGCTCAGAGTCCTTCCCCGTCTTCTGGCAAGTTTGGTTCGAAGCAGAGTAAAAAGAAAATGGCCGAAACGGATGCAGAAACAGGGGGTACACCGATGGATGGTTGTGAGGATGGGCCTTGCCTCACTGATGAAGCCAGTAATGATGGTATAGATGACAAACGAGGATCAGATAAGTCTAAAAAGGGTAGCGCTGGCACAAAAGCTGATAAAATGGCCCAGAAAAACTTGAAGTCACCACGACCCATGGGTCCTGGCCCTCCAGCATCCCAGCAGATGTACTCTTTTCCACCTGGAAACCCAAATTCTTCCCCAGGGCTTACCCCAATAATACAAGGAATCCCCAAGAGTCCTCAAATGAAAGGCACACAGCCGAAACCCCCTGCCATTGGAGATCCTGCCCCAAGTAGCTCCAAAGACAAGAAGAAGAAGGACAAAAAGAAAAAGGATGGTGGAAAGGAAGCTGACAGTCCCAAGCCTCCAGGGAAAGGAGGGAAACTGGAAGAAGGAAAGCTTCCATATGCTGAACCTTGTGATCAAGGGAATAAGGGGGAAGGGCTTCTCAATGGTTCCTCAGATCCTCATCAGAGTCGCTTGGCCAGTATCAAGGCTGAGGCTGACAAGATTTACAGCTTCTCTGACAACGCCCCAAGTCCATCCATCGGTGTAGCCAGTCGGATAGATGGTAGCGGGATGCCACAGCCCCTCACACCACTTCACGTAGTGAACCAGAATGGAGCTGACAACTCTTCAGTCAAAACCAATAGCCCAGCTTACTCAGATATTTCAGATGCTGGTGAGGATGGTGAAGGAAAACTAGAAGGTGTCAAAGTCAGGACAGAGGACCAAGCCATCAGGGAAAGTGTCAAAAAAGCGCTCTTTCCAAACCAGACACCCAACAAAGATTCCCCGTACTATGCCGGTTATGAGACATATTACTCGCCCAATTATGTCAACCCCAGTCCCGGTGGGCCCAATCCAGGCACGCCAGTGGCTGAAGGTCAGGTTAAGATCAAAAGGGATGATGAGCAGGACCACAGTGAGGAAAAAGTCAAGGTTGAGGTTCATGAAGACCGCAAACCTGACAGCAGTGCTCCTGGCCAGCAGCAGCAACAGCAACAGCAACAGCAGCAGCAGCAGCAGCAGCAGCAGCAGCAACAGCAGCAGCAACAACAGCAGCAACAGCAGCAGCAGCAGCAACAACAGCAGCAACCCTCTGTCATCCAACAGAGATCAAACATGTACATGCAGCCTCTTTACTACAACCAGTATGCCTATGTCCCTCCATATGCATACCATCCTGATCAAACCTACCATAACCACTTGATGAACACCAACGCAACCTACCGGCAACAGTACGAGGAGCGGCAGCGGCAGATGGCCGAACAGCATCGTGCTGCTGAAAAGAAGTCAGACGTAGCCATGAAAGAGCGAGAAGCCTCCATGAAGGAGGAGTGGAAACAAAAGAGCCCAATGCCACCAAGCCTCTCCAAAGCCCCGAGTCAGTCAGACCTTGGAAAGGCGCCGCAGCCCCCAAGCAAATCCAGGGACTCGCCCTCTGAACCCTCCTCCAAATCCATGGGAAGCATTAAGGTGGAGGATCCAAAGTCCCAGCAAGCTGAGGGGCTAAAGATGAAGCTGACTGAAGGGGGTCACCATGGAAAGGAGGACTCCAAGCAAGCACTGGAGTCCAGAGGCCAGGCAGGGATGGAGCAAGCCATGTGGTACAGACAGGTAAATACCCATCTACTTTAACAGTGCTAATTTATCTGTTGTTCAAAAATGTTTAAGTTATGATTTATTGCATTATTTAAATGCTGATTTCTACTGACTTGAGCCTTCTTTTCCACCCTCAGCAGTACCCCGAGAGCCAGAAGCCCCAAGCAGAAGATGAACACCAGCAACAACAACCTCGATGGAAAGATGAAAGGGACAGAGAGCGGGAACGAGATCGTAAATTAAAGGATGAAAGGCCCCGGCCCAAGGACAGTCAAATTGGGCCCAAGGAGGACGTCAAAGAGGGCAGTGATCCCAGAATCACTTCTGAAGACCATCGGGCTCTGAGCAAAGACTCTCGTTCTAATCCCCACATGCAGTTCTCATCACCACTAGCACAGCACCAAGGCTACATGCCCTACATGCATGGTTACCCCTATGGACAAGGCTATGACCCCAGCCACCCTGGATACAGGGGAATGCCTTCAGTCATGATGCAGAATTACCCAGGTACGACATTACATTTACTCCAAATATAAGCAAATATAATGCACAGTATGACATTTTTTAATTGATGACAAGGTAGAGTCACCCAGTTTCATTTTGGTGTTGCGTTTAATCATTAGTCCAAGTTATCAGTATTTCTTTCTTTTTTTTTTAGCTAAACACATGCTTAACTGACATGATCATTAATGTATTGCTGTGCATAAGTTTGCTGACCTAAACTACATTTTAAGTTGCAAGCAATGTAAAGAATAACATAGTTCACATTACCTAAAGAATGGATTGTCTTGGTTTTTGCATGCATACACAATGGCTCTAAAGATTTATTGCTGCAGCTTCGGATTATATAGTCTTAATAGATATAATTTGCACCACATTTTGTGTTGTTTTGCTAAGAAGTGTTGTGATGTTTAAAAGCTCCATGAAATAACTGCAGTCCTTTGGTGGAGCTGTGTTTTGGGGGCAAATCACAGCATGGAAGTAATTTGCAAGGAAGTTGGATAGTTCAAGTCAATCAAGGATTGATTTTGTTGGAACCTCAGCTCCTAACAGGGTTTAGAGTCGGATTATGTGCAGAAAATTGCATTTACTGGGGAAAATTGAAGGCATCTTTCCATTGTTTATATTTTCTAGTAATAGTGAAAGCGTTTACTGAATTGAAGAGTTGAGGAGTGGCTGAATTTGTGTTAATCCACAAATGTGTGGAAGGTCTGATGAATGTAACCAAGGGAATATAGTCCACATGGGTAGTGAGTTAGTAGTAAACAAATGTTTTTACAACAACGTGGCTACTAATTCACATTTAGGACACAGTAGCTGTACTACAAGGTGGTTCTCCACTGCAGGAACACATGAATGTTTACAGTAACGGTTTTCTGTTTCCACTGTCGTGTAACTTTGGCCCTGATGTTGCCTTTGAGTGTGTCAAATCAACAACCAATAGGAGTTTATCGTCGTAACTGCAGGTCTATGAACGCGTACAAAATAGAAGAATGGAGGGTTGTTAGGTTAGCTCAAATGGTGAGTTTTACGTAGTTGATGGCGATTTTAGACTACTACTTCACGGAAAAATGGCACTCTACGTTCTCTCCAATTTTAACCAATCAACTTTGAGCCCCAGTCAGCTCAGGGCCACTTGTTGTCCCCAAAAAACAGCCCTTAAAGAGCGTGTACTGGGCCGATTCTTGGGGCTGGAACACACAAAGGTTTATTCCACCCTAGAACAGCCCACATGTGCCTGCAGTGGTAAACGGCTCATTGTTAACATACACACAACATGCTGTTCGTAAGCCAGTTTCCTACAGCGTGTTTTCATTTTTACAATTAAAATGGTACAGAAAATATGATGGTGCTACTGTTTAAATATGAGTAGAATGTACCGGTTGGTGATCAAAAATCAATGATGTTTAGTCTTAAGTTTGATTAATTAATAATATTTGATCATCGGTTGTCACGTTTGTATTCCACGTAAACCTAAATGTTTCCTCATCGCTCTTAGGTTCTTATCTACCCGGAGGTTATCCGTTTTCTCCATATGGGAGTAAAATAGCCGGAGGTGAGGAAGGCAGCGACAAATCTCGCGCTAGCCCCACTGTCACCAAAACAGCGACGGACTCCAAAGCTCTGGATATCCTGCATCAGCACGCCAGCCAGTACAAGAGCAAATCCCCGACCGTAGGCGACAAGCCGCCCCACGACAGGGAGAGGGAGCAGGACCGAGGGGCCGCCGGAGACAGAGATCGGGAACGGGAGCGCGAACGGGAACGAGAGCGAGACGTGGACCGACCGCGCTCCTCGCCGTCCCAGCGCATCATGCCCTCCCACCACCACCTGGGATACCCCCTGCTCTCAGGGCAATACGACCTGTCCTACGCCACAGGTCAGTCACACCGCTGGACTATAGATCACAAAACAGAATATAAAAAACATGATGGGCGCTAATGGCCAACAGGTATTCTAAATGAAGAACTAAACAAGGAAACATTACAGATTGCCATATATTTCCCGGCTCAGTTTACCTCTTCCCTACTGCTGCCTGCCAACAAACAGCAGCCCCTCCCTTCACCCACCAGCAGACACATGCAAAAGACTGACAGGGAAACAAAACACAAGCCTACTGAGACACATTGACAAACTGAGAGCAGTGTTTGCAAACCAGCCAAATGCAGGTGGCTGACATTGCGCTTCACATAAATAATTCAATGTCTCTGCTTAAAAATATTTAGTCACTGAGATACGAGCGCAGAGTGTCCTGTAGAAAAAAAAACATAACTGCATGTTTCTTTGTTCTGGATTTATTGGAGGTGAAATAAAAAGAACACGACGCCCCGCTCTTTACTTACAACATTTATGTTGCCGACACGGAGGCTGCAAAACCTGCGAAGAAACCAAATCGTGTCCAAACAAAGGCCTCACTTCTCTGCTGCAATCTAGTACAATATGCAGTGCAGCTTTTAGCCCCTCAGCTCATCCATCTTAAGTAGGTCCTCTGAGGACAAGTGGATCACAGTGTTGATAATAGAGATGTTGAACGAGCCCGCCAAGACGCAAAAGTACCGCAGCCTGCACTGACATCTGGTGGCGGCTCTGCTCAACTACAGGCCGTTTGAGGAACAAGTCTGCACTTTGTTGTCAGTGTGAGAGCAGACACTGCCTTCATCAGTCCCGCAGTGGATCCTGCATTTGTGTTTAACAGCTTTAAAGAGGTGCTGATTCAACTGTGTGATCGTTGCGGCGGATGTTGTTTGTGGGGCTGCTGAATCGTACCTCATTACACTCAGTGCAGCGCAAACTCCTCTGTGAAACGGTTCAGACTCAAACTGAACGTTATGAAGGCAGGATTTAGTGCAGGACTAACTAGAGTTCATATGTCTTAATCTACAAATAGAGCTGAAAAGTCAGATAATTATTGATAATGTTTAATGACCTACTTTTTAAAAAGGCCTATTTTTAATTTAATTATTTAAACACTTTAGCCTATTTGTTAAGGTACATAAGTAATCATTTTATTGGTGCGATAATACTAAAAGTAGACAAATAAATACATGTAGATATTGATCAAAAATAAATAAGGATAAAGGAAATACACAGTAAACAGATACATATGATGCACTGAGGTAAAAAATTCTTTCAAACATTTGATTCTTGCCTCTGATTAAGAGTCTATCATATCTATTGTTTTATCACCGAGTCGTGTCTATAAAATGCATTTGGTTCCAAAATTAGTGACATTAATGAGTCGTCTTAAATGTTACAACACAAAGAAATGCAATAATATTACTTCAGTTTACTCTTCTAGTCTTATTTTAGCATTTGTATTTTTATTTTTAGTAATATATCATACTTGATACTTCCCTGATCATACTGCTTTTTTTATCAGGCTCTGCATTCATTCTCATGTCGTTATTTTTTCTGAGTCACATTTTCGAGCTTCTTTCTGTAATACTCAGGGCGTGTAGACATGGCATTTTGAAGTGTTGGTCACACTTTATACAGTGAAACACTTTATCAGTGTGTGTGTGGGAATGAGCTGATATAAGACAAAGCAAACAATCTTCAATTATTCTTACAGCAAACTATTTAGCTCTATAGCCACGTCCCAAATATGTTGTCACTTGCTGTGTAAATATGTGGATGTTGTACTTTTCGACATTCCATCGGTGACTGTCATCATCAACACAGTGTCAACCTGTTGGACTTAACTCAAATGAAAGCCTATGAAAGGCTGTTTATTCTTGTTTATTCTTTCATCTAGGCTGCTTTAGCCTACTAATTACTAGTTTTGTTGCTCCTAACATTTTTGGGTCTATTATCCAACTCAGTCCAGTGTGATGGGGTTTTTTTGTATTTGTTTTGTCATACTTTTGATCATTTAAAGCTGTTTTATCTGATTTGAAATTTAAGAAAGTGTATCTGTTCTATATATTTTTCCTTTATAAATGTTTAATTTATTTGAGCGGACTTATTCTAGGCTCTTTTGGGGGGATTTTGTGGCTTGTACAGGTGTAGATCCACAAGTGGGGTGTTTGGCATCAACTTTGTACTCTTAGATCTGGCACAAGAACCTCCTTCATGATGCATAAAGTTCAGTCCTCCTTTGCTCCACTGACAATGACAGGACTTCCAAGTGTTTTCTTTCTGTATTCAATGCAGTCGAATAAGTGATCCGTTATTAAACACGTCTTTGTTTTGTGTCTTTCGCAGGGAAACCCGACCGTCACACCTCAACCCTGCAAAGATTCATGTGACCGGCTCACATGAGAACAAGATCTCCCGGGTGATACCTTTTAGACATCAGTTGAATGGTGTTTCTACCTATATTTTTTAGTTTCTTCTGCCCCAAGGCTAGGCAGAGTGTTGTTGTTTTTTTTGTTGTTGTTTTTTTTTTGTTTTTTTTTTTCCCCTCCCCTCGTAAAAGAATCCTCCAAACCTTGGACTGTAACAGGACTGAGAATAACCCAGGTTCAAAGCCATCGCTCTGCCCCGTCACGCAGAGGAAACACCGACCCGCTGATTATCTAGTCTTTGCACTGTCAACAAATACAATGCAAAAAGAGACTATTGGACTGCCAGAACAGCTTTTCTTGTTGTTTGTTTTTTTTTTTTTTTCTCTCTGACTGCATTGTTTTTAGTTTTTTTTTTTGTCACACGCAGAAAAGAAAGAGATTGGCAGGGGATGTCGGGAAGATGGGCGGCTGATGGGTAAAGAGGAGTCAAACTAAATTAAAAGACGGACACACGACAAAGTGAATCACACGGAGATGATTTTAACTCGTTTGGCTTCTCGTACGCCATGAAACAACAGTATATCCTTAACTTGACAAACGTTTGGCTATATGTCGTCGGGGGGAGGGGGGGAGAGGGAATATGGCAACAGCTGCTTTCTTCAGAGACTTATGAGCCTGAGACTGAAGTTTTGTTTTTTTTTTTCAAATTTTCCATCGTCATTTATTCCCATCCTCTTTGAACCCTCAGTTCTCGTTTCAGGGATGATGTCGTCATGTTTTTTTTTTTTTTGCGAAGGGACCGCGTACACCTCAACGGAGAATAAACACTATTCATGTTTTCTTTTTTTTCTCGATAATACTTTAGCTCTACTCCATATCATTGTGTTCATCTTTGAATGTGTCTGATGCTGGTATTGGTCCTGTTTTTTTTTTCCTTCCTCGCTATGAAAGGGGTCACGTCTGTCTTTTTACACTCACTCAAACGCGGTGAAGCCACGTTAGCAAGCGGCGAGTTCGCGGGGCATTGTCATCGCCGCATCGGGCCACTCTGTGCGGGTGTTTTTTTACTGTAAGATTGTGCTTCTTCTCAGCTTGTCAAGTTTGATTGTTTCCTGTAAACAATGTGAAATTTCACTCATGTAATTTTTCTGCTGTAATATAGACTTTTATCCTACTTTTTATGTGCATAAATGTTTATATTTATCCCAGCACGCAACTGTTTAAACAAAAAAAAAAAAGAAGAAAAAAAAAAAAAGAGAAAAAACCTGTTAAATAGCTTTCAGCCTTCACAGCATTTTACCATAATGTGCTCAGATCTGTTGCTGCAGAGTCTCGTGTGCTTCTTCTTCTTCTACTTCTTCTTCTTCTTCGCCACCTCACATGTTTCGCTTGTCTTGCTGCAGATTTGTTTCCTTCACCACCAGCTTTGTTCCATTCATCCCAACATGCAGTGTGCAGTTAGTCAGGTTAAGCCAAAACAAAAATCCATCTGTTGTTGTTTTTTCTTTTTACTTTAGGCTGATGTGCATAGGTTTCTCTTGGTGCTTTGCTTGCTAACGTGGCTTCACCATAACACACGTTCACCTCAGACAGTTGTTTTTTTTCCAAACCAGCGGCTAGCTTTAGATCAGGCCCTACAAATGGGCCAATGAGACCTCGGACGCCAGTGTTTGTTTGTTCGCCTGTGCAGTGAGGTCCGCTTACCGGCACGTTAGGTATAAGTGCATGAGACGACCCCGCCTCCAAAAAAAAAAAACAGATTTCCCAATCAGATGCTGACAGTCGCAATGGAACGGAGCCAGTAGAAACGGAGCAACATCGAGCGAAGTGAAACGTTGATCGAAGCTGGAAGCCACGCCGCCGCTCTCGGCCTCCCTCTCTGTGAATTTTTTTTGAATCGACACACAAAGCCACCGTCAACACGCCGTACCAGAGCTCCCTCCTGGCTTTAAATTACAGTTCCCTTATACCTCAGGGGTTGTAAAGGTGAAACTCTATCCACTGATTTGGTTCCTGTTTCTGGGTGTGAGAGGGGGGGAAACAACAAGCACATTCTCTGCTCTGGGCTGGATGTGCTGCTGCAGGAGGTTTAATGTCACGCTGTCGTGGGTTGTGACCAGTCTTAATGTTCCTCTGAAACCATTATAATGAGAGTAGAATATTGACCATGCTGTCATTAAATTTAATTTTATTGATTTCTATTTTTTACTTTTAATGTTCCCATTGTTTTAGTCGTCTCTTTTTTTTTTTCTTTCTGTCTCTCTCTCTCTCATTAAGATACTCCGATCCCTAAAAAAAAAAAAAAAGAAAAGAAAAGAAAAAACACCACCAGTTAATCTCATGTCCCTCTGAAGTCTAAATACGAAACTGCAGCTCTTCATTTCGAGGTTCTTGGACATTCCAAGGAAGCCAGTTGCCAGTTTCTCGTCCCGCGGAAGTTTGCAAGATGGTATATATTTTAACTTTTTAAGCGCATTTTAAAGAAGAATGGCTGACATGAATAAACTGAATGTGGTGGTGTTTGACTTGTACTTAATCTGTAAGGGTAATCTAGGCAGCTGTGATGTTGTCATTAAAGTCAGTGGGTTTTAGTACCAGCAGACTGCATACAGTACATATAGTTTTATCAGACAATGGTTGTGACAAGTGCATTTGTTCTCTCTCTGAGAGTAGTAATGTTATCTCAGTAGTAAAGCAAAGCCCAGTGAAAAATCATATATACTAAAGTGTATGAAAAGCCAGAAAAGTAATGTTTGCTATCAACATATTGGAAAGTGCTTGGCTCTTGTATTTTGCAGGACTGTATTTGTTTCATGGTGAAGAGTATATTTATTGGCCAGCAGTTGTCTCAATTGGTGCCTAGTTGAACATTCTTCTGTGAAAACGCAGAGACACTTGCTCGTTTGTCCTTTTCCCGACCCACCGACCGTCACGCAAACTCCCCCCACCCCACCACCCCCCTTCCCCCTCCCAGAGCGCCAGCACCGGCGCTCGCAAAGGATGTTTACAATGTCTTCATTTTATTTTTTTTTTCTTTGTTTCTTTCTTTCTTTTTCTTTTCTTTCTGTGTGAGAAATTCAGAACTCTTCTCCCTCCTCTCCTCGTTTCTCCCTCTCCCTTCAGGAGTTTGTGTAAAGTGTACATTACCATGGTTCTTTTTTATACAATACTCTGTAACTTGCCTTTGTAAATTTGGGCTGGAAAAAATAAATCTTTTTATGAGACAATCTGTCCCGAGAACTGCTCACTGGCTTGTGTGGACGTTGATCTTGACGAGGGTGTTTGCAGGTCGTTTATAAGAACTCCGATTTATTCTTGAGCTCAGGTGATTTCCAGCTATGTGCTCACTACCTGGCTCCTGTTTGTAGCTTCCACACACCTGTGATCTATAAATCTCAAATCGGCTTCGATTGACGACACCTGCTCTGTGATTTCTCCTTTATATGATGCCAATGCAACCCAAGCTTCAGTGTGGAATAACTTTAGAACAAAAGAGAAAAGAAAACCTTTTGGAGGATGAAGTCAGGAGAGGCTGCAGTCAACAATGTGGGACAGAAAGAAGCAGTCAGAGTGGTGTTGAAAGACCAGGTGAATAAGAAAACCCGTCGTTAAGACTTTCTAGATGGAAATTTTGTCCAGAATGTTGTGCACCAGTGAACTCAAACGCATCATGCTGCAACTGTTTTTGCTGCTTGACTCTAGAAGAAAACTCACAGTTCTCATTTCCCATGATCTAATCTACAAGAGAGCAGAACCTAAGTTACTCACATTTATGGGTTCTTGGATAGTTTACGTCTTGGAACTTTTACTTTATTTATGAGAGTTTGTGCAGGTTCCACATGTGCACAGCGAAAAAGAAAAGCAACATCAGTTGTATGGAAGTATATGACGTTGAATAAAAAGCAGGTTCTCTGCAGAGTCCAGAGGCAACACGACTAATTGGATCGTTTAAATCAGCATCACAAAGCTCAGAGTCAGATCTGTAAACAAAACACTGTTTGAATGTGTTTGCCTGTGAAACACCAGATGAGAAAGGCTCCAGATTTACTCCCCTACAAATCAGTAAAGTCATCTGCTGTAGATTCCTGTATTGTTTTTAATATTACAATCTAAAATTCAGGAAAACAAAACAGCACAACATCCGGCACCTCGTTCCTCACACCTTGAACTGATCATTCTCAAAGTTCACCACAGGGTTGGATGCATCCCAAACACAAACACAAATCACCTCCAGACTTTGCTAAAAAGATGAAAAATAATCATTTCCACATCACAATAAAGTTTTCTAAATAGTTTCTTACATGTAGTTTTCTGGGCTGCAAGGTGGAGCAGTGGTTAGCACTGTTGCCTCACAGCTAGAAGTATCGCCAGTTTGCGTCCCGGTTAGGACCGGGTCCCAGGATCTTCCTGTGTTCTGTGGAGTTTGCATGTTCTCTCTGTGCAGTGTGAGTTCTCTCTGGGTTCTCCGGCTTCCTCCCACAAAGTCCAAAAACATCCATCCATCCATCATCTATATACCTTAATCCTCACTAGGGTCGTGGGGGGCTGGAGTCTATCCCAGCTGACTCAGGGTGAAGGCAGGGGACACCCTGGACAGGTCACCAGTCTATCACAGAGCTACACTTAGAGACAGACAACCAAGCACACTCACATTCACACCTGAGGACAATTTAGAATCACCAATTAACCTCAACATGTTTTTGGACTGTGTGGGAGGAAACAGGAGAACCTGGAGAGAACCCACGCTGCATGGAGAGAACATGGAAACTCCACGCAGAAAGATCCCGGGTGTCCTCACTGGGATGCGAACCAGCGTGGTTGTCTGTCTCTAAGTGTAGCCCTGTGATAGACTGGTGACCTGTCCAGGGTGTCCCCTGCCTTCACCCTGAGTCAGCTGGGATAGACTCCAGCCCCCCATGACCCTAGTGAGGATTAAGCGGTGTATAGATAATGGATGGATGTAGTTTTCTTTTCTTAAGTCATTCTAAAGATCAATATATATTATTCACCTGTTTTATAAATGAGGTTCAGCTTAATATGTGTGCACATTGCGTTCCGTTTACATTCATGTCTTAAAGGTCAAATCCTGATGGAACACTGATTTCAACCTTCTTTAACTTCCTCCAAATAGATCTCTGAGTGGGCTGAGTAAGTTGATATGGAGGGTTTTGTACAGTTTTGGTCTCATTGTCTCTCTGTGATGTAACGTCGTCGTCGTCTCATCTCAGTTTACAAAAACAGCCCGAGTCCAAATGTGCTTTTACTGTCCAGCCTCTCCTCCTGCTGCAGTGAAATGCATGCAGCGGCCACAGGAGAGCAGTGTCTCTAAAGAGGCCAGCGGCAGCCTGAGATGGATCAAATGTCACTTTTTCGCTTGTTTCAGGGCCTTTTTCCTGCTGACTAACCAGTGTACCTGAGAGGCTTCGCTTTAACGCACGACGTGTCATTTAATACAATAGGAAGCACTGCATCTGCATCTTTGCAAAGTTGTTTTTAGCGCCCAGAAAAGCTCTCCTTTATGAAAGCATGAGTATTGTTCCTTTGCTGGGCAGAGTTTTACTGCAGCAGACTATTTTAACCATCATCTGTCGCCTTAAACCTGAGCTTTGAGCAGACATTATGCAGCGAGTCTTCGATTAGTGTAATTTTTAAGTAAGTTACTGATGTTTCTTTTGATTTTATTGATTTATTTCCTCCTTTAAAGTCTCTTCTGGTTCACAGTAAAGTGTTTTTATGTTGTTCAGAGAGGAGACCTGAGTCAATAATCATGTTAGATGATCACACATTTGCAGGCTCAAGCTGCTAAGATGATGCTGTGCTGCTTTTTTAACTTCATCTTTCCTCTGAGATCACCTGAGAGACATTTGAGCGTTTTTTCTACGATGCTACAGACAGTAAGAGCTTCAAACAGCCGGATCATGAGCTGCAGCCCTCTGCACTGAGCCGGAGCAGCTGTCAACAGCCTCTCGGGCGCATCACTCAACCTGCAGGCCGCTTTAAAAACTTTTTATCTGCTGCCTTTCGCTCGTATCAGGCAGTGGGGGATATTTTTAACTGGCCCTAATGCTCCTGAACTGAGAGCGTGCATTAGCATAATGCAACATCAGTGACAGGCAGTGATTACGCTGGGGATGATTTTGTTGAGTGTAAATGTGAAATCTGATTATCCTCTGTGCTCAGCAGAGGGAGGAGGGCCGGAGAGAGAGAGAGAGAGAGAGAGAG